AAGTTTTTCAGTTTTGCCTGCCGGACGGAGGACATGTCCTCCTTTTGCCGGACATCTGGCAACCCTACCTTTAAGAGCTGCCCTGAATCTTTCTGGCACAGGGCTAGGGCATGCAATCATTTGGGACAATTCTCTGAGATGCAAAATAACTCTTTGTTCTGCTTTTGCTGACCGGTATCAAGAGTTAAAATAGACTGCCACTGAAGATAAGGACCTTGTTGATAGCTAGATTATACCCCTGGGTCTGGACAACAAACATATATCATTTTTAAGAAAAGAAAGATTAACATTAAATTCTGCCAATTCGTGCCAAAGTTGGCATCACCATTACCTAAATAGATCCTTACTCCTAGACCAATTTATCTTCTTGGAGCAACCCTTGAATTCCCTCATTTTGAGGCAAAATCTCACTCCCAAAAGTTCAAGGCATATAAAAGTACTGATAGAATCTTACGGGGAATTTTTGCTACAGTAGGTATAATTATGTAAATTTTAGTGGCAAATGGTATATACCCAGGAATGTGGATGCCAACTTGTTAGTTTAATAGCAATTCAGCACCATCATTTACACCATCATGTCAATGTAAATCCTCAATAGCATACTAGCCACTGTAGCTTAAAAGGCAAAATATACATTTAGTAGAATCAATGATGAGAAGCACATACACATTTAAATGTACAGCAGCCATCTGTCTGATTGTTATCGGAACCATCCTCAGTTTTTCACCCTATCCTACAACTGGACCAGACTTTGCAGACTCTAAACCAGACCAGATGGCAGATCCACATAAAAGGCCTGTTTTAATTAACAGAATTTTCAGCAATGGAGAAAGGGATCGTTTTTTGTTTTTAATTTCACAGAACCCTGGCTACATAAATATATTCACAATTCACACAAATTGTATTTTGTAATTTAACATTGAGTTCAAGAAGCAAACTTTGAATTGCTTCCCAGAATGCCTGTAACTGTAACATAAAAATGCTTCAAAGCTAAAATTCTACAGACAATTACAGCTAACCTTCCAACATGTTTAACAGGCTTGATTCCTCTTAACTACCTGGGTTTCTATTAACTTTAAAACTGCAAAGTAAAATGGATGAATGTGCACAGTTTTGTTTAAAATTCTGGAATATATTTGCTAAAGTGACAAATAATTTCAATGGAGGAATTAAGTACTTCTTCTGCAAATTCTGGAATTAAAAATAGTATCAACCTCCCCCCTCCTATGCACAGAAAATAAAAAATATGAAGTAAACAAAATATGGGGAAAAGGGTTAGAAATTAAGCAGAATTGGCAATGTTCTTGCAGAATAGCGACTAAACCTCACTCATATTACTAAAAAAAAGACTGAAATGCCCTCTCAAACAACCTATTAAGCACATAAACTATGTGAGAAGGAGGCAGAAAAGCTGAATTAGAACTTAAACAGAAGCCAGGAAGAATAAGGTGCTTGCACAAAAAGAAAGAATACACTCACTAACTTAACCCAATTTGAGAAACAAAAATGAGGACAAAATACTAGTGCACAGGACCTGCCCACAGCTTCGGTAGAAAAAGAAAATGACACCTTTCCTCCTGGATAGGAACTTATATTTTAAAATTTTTAAAAATGAAAATAAAAGTATTGTGCCACTTTAAAGACTAACACATTCATTTCAGTGGGAGCCTTCAGACCCTAGTGAACACCACACACTCTCTCAGAACTAATTTCAAGAACTCTTTTGTGAAAGAAGACAACTGTTCTGCTCCCACAGAAAGCATGAACATGAATTTAACACATAAGAATCTAGACAGACATTTGTTAATTTAAAGGGAAAAATAAGGGTGGATTTTTTTTTGTTTTACTTTTTTTTTTTGCATTTTCAGGATTAATGAGGGTCAGCATTTCTAAGCCAATGTAAGAAAAGTCAACATTTGCCTAAATGTGTCCAGTAATAATATGTCCGCATCATGCTGTGTGACAAATGTGATGTTTTGAGGAGAAGGAGGAGGAACAAATCTTACACTTACTTTTTTGTGTGTTACTGAAAAAAATTAAGGGGCAAAGTTAGCCTATGTGAAAAACTATGGAACAGGTTATAATTCCTAACAATGGAATCAGAATTATACTACCCCAATAAAATGAGCACATAGTCACTAAATTAATACTCTGTTGATAATACTCATGCTCTCTTTGATCAGAGCAGGGGTCAGGGAAACTTTTTACCTTCCCCCCCCCCAATTTTATATACAGTGGTGCCTCGCAAGAAGATGTTAATCCGTTCCACGAAAATCGCTGTCTTGAGAAAACATCATCTTGCAAAACCAAATTTCCCATAGGAATGCACTGAAAATTAATTAATGCGTTCCTAGGGGAATTTTTTTCTTTTAAAGGAACTTAAGAGGTAGGGAGCTGGGGAAGCACACTAAACGACTAAACACACACACAGGGGGATGTTTTCT